ATGAAGAGGTTAACGCGTATGAGCAAACGCAAGAGCGAGCGCAGACGCTATAACTATGAATTGGGTTGAATAAGAGAGTTTGTTTAAGTTTGATATTTTTATTTCGCAGACATTTTAACAAATTAACTTGTGTTGAGAAGCACCTTGAGTTATTCATTTGTGAAACAAACAATTTCAATATTGAATTGAAAATGAATGGGGCAGAAAAACTTATTGTGGCTTACAGAAGATTGTTTCTGCCATTGAAGAAGTTTAATTAAAAAAAAACCAAGTGTTCAATTTTTTTATGTATAAAAAGAGAGAATGGAATGTGGGAATTAAAAGAAAAACTTTTTTTCTAAATTGCCACTTCACCCTCTTTTAATTTTTAATTTATTATAAAACAAGAACTATTTTTGTTTTCACAGTATATACTCGTTAAGTGGTGGTATGCAATGTACATACTATGATATGCGATGATGATCTTGGATTATAATTAACATAATGATAAAAAAAATTGTTTTCAGTTCATTATTCATTTATGACTGACTAGAATTAAATCTCAACATAATCTCTTAATTAAAAAATACTTTTTTTCAATTATATGTACTTATAGATGTATGTATGTATGCGCATATCTATTTACATGGTATTTATGATGCTTTGTACTCATTTTTTATACTTTCAATTTGGTTTTATAGTTATCATCAAATTACTTAGCACATGCCATTAATGATATCTATTACATATACTGTTGGTATACTGCATAATATACATAGTGTATATCATAACGGAATATTGAGTGGAATATGATTACTATGTTGCGGAATTAATGGACACTATACATGTTAGTGTTGATTTGCTATTACATTTCTTTATTTTGAAAAATAATTGTGATGGTTTGTGTGAATAATTGTGAAAATATTTAAGATATTTTCTGTATAACACTGCGATTGAAGTAAATCTTCTTTTTAGGATTATAGTATAAAAAGTTAATTGGAATAAAATATATAATATCATTATACCGGTGCGAGTCTATATAAAGAAATAGGTAATTGAGAGAAGCAGTTGTGCACATTTGCTTCGATAGATGGCTATTTAGTTCTTGTACGGAAAATATACGACAAGTTCTTTTTGCAAAATATTATCAGTTAGCTTTTGCTCTTATTTATCAGGATTTCCATTCAGTACAGCATTCCATTTACAAAATACTCTTACTCTTAAAGCCAAACGCTAGCAATCATACCATACAGCATAAAGATATGACTTGGTTACACTGCGCGACTGTCAGTTACTTAGCGATACCGAAGAGAGTATAGCCTGGCAATATAGATTACTTTGCTAACTGAAGAATAAAATCACGAACAGTTGCAATATTCTCGTTAGTGGCGCATTTTTGCTGTAATCGATAGCGTGGTGATGAATATCAAAAAGTTCAAAATATCTTAAATTTCTAATATTTTCCCTAAATCCAAGCGCAGGCGAAGTAATATAACAACTCAAATTGGTGAATAAATATAATATAAATATATACACACAAACAAACGTAATGATATCAAATTTGTTAGTATATATAGGCGTCTATTTTCATAGAGAGGCAACATAAGGTTATTTAGGTAAGGGGTATCGACAGAACAATTGACCTTTATTATTCACAATTTAACTGTACAATAGTTGACAATGAAATTTTCATATAAGCGCGCATCGATTTATTTAATTGACATTGAACTATAGCCAATATTTGCAGTAATTTTTAAAAATATGTAAGCATATTTGAGCGTGCATTAGCTTTATGTGTTATAAATTATAATATGTTCATAATATGTTCATAATTCTATAATATTTAAAATGAACTCTATGTATACAAATTTCATTCAAATGCACGCAAATAAATTGCGAATGCAAACTAAAATGATAACCTCGAATTCTTTTACTTAAAATTTTACATTAAGAGTTAGAAATGAAATTTATTTTTTATGATAAGTCAAAAAGAAAATGAAAATTGCATTTATGATAATTAGAAAAATTACATTTTAAACTAAATGTAAATATAATTACATAATTACATAATGTATATACACTATAAAATATAAAAATGTAATAATATTTGTTTTAAAAATAAATTTGTATCGTAAAATTCAAAATAATGAAGAAAAGAAATTCATTTAAATACAATTCAAATTCATTTATGTTTTCATATGTGTATATTTGGACGCCAGCTGTAAATGCCTACATATTATATGCGGCTATATATATATAAAAATTTTATGATTTTAATAGTATTCGAGGATAATGGCAGATATACGAGTATATGTGCTCTTTTTTAGAATAAACAGAATTGCAAAGCCTATATATGCAACAAAATAAAATTTTACAAAGACGTGAATGAAAAGAGTTTAAAAAGTATGCTCTTAACTTTGTTCAAGAGCCACTTATTTTATACACTTTGTAAAAATTAAGTGTTTCTCAAATTTAATGATAAAGAAAGTACATGTACATATACTAATAAAAAGTAAATTGAAAAAAAAAATTGTTATTTAATTAAAAATGGAATAAAGTGAGTTTGCACTTACATACAATGAAAGACTTACCGTATGTAATCAAATTTGTACAAATATAGTAGATTTGCTACAATATTAATAAATTAAAACTTTAATACTCAATATGGAAATGGCGCAAATTTTGTATTTGTTATGTAATGAACTTTTAGGAAATAGGAACTGATTGTAGATTAGTTTAAGGAAAAGTAGTAATAAAGTATAAACTTTACATTCAATTAAGTTGTTCCAAGACATAATCCACTGGTTGCACTTAACATATCATATATACATAGGTGTAACCAATCTACTTGGTGGCTATAAACTTGCTTTAAGAAATTAAAAGTAGTATGAAACTGTATTCACATTATAATCTAATCGAATTTAACCTTTTCGGAAAAAAAAATCAAATTTTTGTAATTAGCACGCAATCAGAAGCTGCCCAATTTGCTATTAGATTTAATACTGCGAATATTCTCTATTATAGCGATAGTTCTGTGCAAGTGTTTTCTATTTTATGTTGGTGCCTATGTAAGATCTGATATGTATATGACCTATCCATATATCCATCAAAAGAATGTTAACAATAGAATGTTATAATTTAAAATAGAAATATCTTAAAAGTTCAGCAACATTTTCAAAATGTTTCTAAGAAAAAAAAATTTTTTTTTTTGTTCAGAAATTAATTTTCACAAGTGTTGCCGAGTAGTAGTAATAATAAATTAAAAATGTTCGGAAACTTTGTTTAACTATGTCTTAACTATATGACGATAAACGTTCCAAATCGAATATCAATTTTTGTACTCGTATCAAATTTTTCATATTTTATGAAAAATAAAATATATGACCAGTTCGCTATAATTTAATATTTTCACAATAATATTTAACAAATTTATGAAAATTTCTAAAAATAAAAATTATAAAATACAAAAAAAACTCGTATAGGAAACAAGAACAGAAATAAAATTTGGAATTTCATTTCAATTGATTTTTGGAGTTCAACATTGTAAAATAAGACTAAAAATAATTTTTACAAAATTAGAAAAAAATTTTATTTCTTTTTTGCATATTCATTGAAGCAAACCAATCAATAATAAAAATAGAAAAAAAAAACCCGATCGATATAGAAATTAATGAATGCAATTTAGAAGAAGCATCCCATTAGCATTTTCAAAAAATATATTTTTGGATTGGGTTTAAATAAAACTAGAGTAAAAAAAATTATGAGAACGCGCAAATATTCATTTAAAATTAAATTTATAATTCGTAAATGTTTATTTAGAGATAACGAAAAAAAAAACATTAAAAATTCTGCAAAATATTTTTCTAATATTTTTAATTAATTTGTTTTTTTTTTCGGTTTTTTAAAATATCGTGAATACAAAAATATTTTTAGGCCAAATTTATTTATTTTATAAATATACTTATAGTTCTTAAAATTCTAAATTATGCAATTTTTTTATTGACCGCATTACATACAAGGTATCGGGTTTTCCTGGAAATTTATTTCGTTATTTTTGAGAGAATCGTAAACAAAAATATTTTTAGTGAGATGTCGGTTTGTCTATGCATTTCTGTGCCTGATATTTAGGCATTACTATAGAGGCTTTATTACTTCATTCATTACTTTAAGAATAACTAGAGGATTTCAGATTTTTTACAACATCTAATAGAATTTGCTGTTTCAGCTTTGTCTATATACCGGAAGAGCATGCCAATAGTATTTTTAAGTAAATTACGGTTGAGAAATTGGGGCTATAATATTAATACAAAATGATAAAATATAATATTTAAATTTCAAAATGCAATTATTAAATTATTAAATTCAATACAATAATTTGTTTTAGTAGCTTAATGTAGTAATTCATATTAAAAGCTCAATTGTAGATTTTATTTGAATATTTCGGTATTTCTCATAGGCTATAAATACATTGTACGTGGTTATTCTATATCGCAATTTCTACACTTATGTTACCCAAATACGATTAAGATTGTTCTAAAAAATTTAATTTCACAGTTCATAGAATAATTTAAAGTTCATTAAAACTTCATTCTAATAAAATAAAGTTTTTAGAAATTTAATTTAAAAAATTCAACTATAATGAAATATTTGTTTAAATTTCTTATATAAGACAAGCAACTTCAGAAAAAAACTAAATATATAATTTTAAATAAAAACAAAAAATGAAAGAAAAATAATAAATAAGTCATAATTCAAAAATAATAAATGAAGAAAATCACCTTTTACAGGTCATAAAATTGTAATGAGCATAAATACAAAATATAAAAAAAAAATTGAAAATTTTTGGAAAATCTTTTTAAGAAAAAATCATTTCTAAAAATATACAAACATACACACAAATACATAAGTGTATGCAATGGAAAACTTTTTAGAAATTTTCCATTTAAAAAGAAAATTTTTTTTTATGTTGGAAAAATATGAATTATATAGGGAAAAAAATCACGTTCTAAAACCACACTTACGTAAAATAATTTTTTTAATTTCCTCTGCATTCAATGATGTTGCTGATACTGATGATGATGTTGATGCCGATGACGTTGATAGCGTAGATTGTGTCGTAGAATATGATTGTAATGATGACAATGATGCTGATGATAGCCTTCTTCCATCAACTGATGAGATCAAATTTATATTTAAAACTAAAAATAATGTTATTAATGATATCAAATGTAAATATTTAATGGACGTTCTTCTATTTGATATTATTTTTGATTTTATTATTTCATGTGGATCTCTTCTTGTTCTTATTGTTGGTAATACTGTCACTGTTGTTGTTGTAGCTGTCGCTGTTGTCATTAATTTTTCAGTATAATTTCTTTCCATTTCTATAAATGGTGATGGTAATGCTGCTGTTATTACTGACAGTGATGGTAAATATTTTGAATTTTTATGTTTTATTTTAAATTCTGATGACATTTTTATTGTTGCTGTTGTTGTTTTGATTTTTTTACTTTTATCTATTGACCTAAAATTTATTCTACCGTTACAATTATGACACTTTTCTGTCATTTTTAATAATGACATTTGATTATTAAAATATGTGTATTTGTTTTTTTTTTTAATTTTTACTTTAATTTTAGTTCAGTTTTAGAAAATGAATTCGATGTTTTTTAATAGAATTTTTTTTAGTTTGATTTTTCTTTTCAAATAGAAATTTTTTAAGTATTATTGGAACGCGTAATGTAAGCGATAAATAACAATATGAAAATAAAGTGGTGTATAAAGTTTACTATTAAAATTTTTAATATTTTTATAAATAGTTTTTGACTTTTTCAAATGATTTGAATTTAAATTTTTGGAAAATTATAAATGAATTAATGAAATTTTCTAAATATATTTCCATAATTCTTGCAACTTTTACCGATTTACTCCTCGTAATACTTCAAAATAATTTTGGTATTTGAATGTTGCAATTTCTATCAATTTTCACTTCGTATAATAAAAAATTATTTTTCATGGTATTTTGGTTTTTAATTTTTTCCTTTAAAATCTGAAAATACAAAAAATAAAAAAAATTACACATTAATATTCTTACTTAATAACTTAATTTACAAAATAAATTAAATGCACATTTCACACACATACAACGTGAATTTTCAAATTAGAAAACAGGGAAAAATAAATTATAAAGATTACTTTTCAATTAATAAAGTATTATAAATTATAGTAGAAAGTATGTGGAAAAAAATTTTAATTAAATTTAAGAGCTGGGTAAGATTTTCGTTATGCATTATCAATTAATTTTTTTTGTATATTAAATAGACCAGACCAGACAACCAAACGGCAAGTACATAAATGTTACACTGTACGATTACACAGTATTAAATGGAATTCTTCTTACACGGTAGTGTCACAATATAATTAAAGAAATTAAAAAAAGTTTTTGGAATTTATCTTTTTGTAAGCAATTTAACGATACTTTCAAAAATTAACAAAAATATAATTTTTGCATATCAGTAGGGGTTGAAAAAAATTTAAGATTGGAAAACTGAAAGATCACGTGATTTCGTTGAAATATTTAAAACAATTCAAGTTCTTTTGACTTTAGGCCATAATCATGCTGGTTCTTTAACTATATTTTCATAAATTAATAAAAATATAAATTTGCATACAGGTAGGGGCTAAACTTTTAACGTTGCGAGACCAGTTCATTTCATTGAAATAATAAAACAGTTTAAGTAATTTTGGCTTTAGATCATGCTATTACTGGTCCAAAACTTCATGTTATTTGGTCAATAGTAAATAATATATAGTGTACATATTTGCATTTTCGAAATATTTGCAATGTATTACAATATTTGCATTCAACTCCAAAAAATTTTGACAAATTTATTAATTTTGATTATTTTTTATATTTTTAACGAACTTTGCATAATGTTAACGCTTATTAACGTGAACGATGAGGCGATAGAGAAGAGTTGAAATAAATATGTTCAACATAGCCTTATAATTTTAACTTGTACTGTATACATAAATGAAAATTCAGCAAATAAATAATATACATTTGAAATAAATAAATTAAAATTAAAACTTTATTGATTTTAATATAAAAAAGAACAGATTTATTGAGATGATTTTCATGATTTTTTTTCCCAATACAAAATCAATAATATTTTATTTAAATGTGTATACGTCATAATGCGATAAAACTATATGGAGAAATTATTGAAAATTTTGAAATATTTTAATAATTTATTTTAATTTATTTAATATGTAAATATATGTATATATATCTATATATGTATATGAATGTATTTTAGAGAAAATATTAGTTTATTTTATCAGTCACAGACAATTATTTATTTTGAATATATAGGAAATTTGTGTAAATTAATGCAGCACGTGCCACTAATAAAAATTTTTTAAAATTACATATAGTTTATCATTTAAGTATTAATTCCTATATATTATAATAAATTTTATAATGATTCATAATTAAGCAAAAATGTTAAGAAATAACAAAATTTCGGTCATAATGGGTGATTTTTTGTTGACTATCAAGTATAAAGAAAAACGCAGAAATGTTGTAAATTTGGAATTTTTGCATTGCATATAAATTCAAATTCAAATATAAAGTATATATAATGGCTTCTTGTATAATTCCACGCAGAAAAATCATCAACTGCATGTGTAGTAATGTTTACTAAAGGTCTATTCGCTACCGGATGGTGGAATAATATATGAGCACGTTTCTAATAATTAATACCTCTACTAGTTTCTAATAATTTTTTGGACGTCAAATTTATGAAATATTAAACTATAGATCTGTAAATTTTAGTACAACACACTACATACATAAGGGTTGGTGTGAAGACATAAAACTTTCCACAATAAGGTTGGTATTTTCCAGAAAAACATTAATTTGATGATCGTGTTCATCACTTTTATTTGCAACTGACAGTCATATGTCCGTAGTAACTCTTGTCAGCTGATATTTTGTTATTTATAAGTAAAAATCTCTTTTTTTACCTGTTTTTCTTTTCTACATCCAAATCAGTCATTTTTCACAATTAGTTTTTGTAAAATATTCGTAACATAAAATAATTTGTGTTAGCAGCAAAAACTGGAATTCATGACGTTAGCGTCGAATACATAACTACTTTGTCATAACACCAGCTTTTGCAGATTGTGTGCAAATAAAATTTGCTCTTAATTAATTTAATAAAAATTAATAAAAACTCTTAATTAATTGTAAATTTTTTGGTAACAAAGTCGAATCATAAGTGTTCGCCATGGTTGTTATAAAATCAAATCCTTAATAAAGAGTTATAGAATTATTTAATGCATGAGTCAAGAAACACTTCTATTAAAATCTTCGATTTCAAAATTGATGTAAGTACCTCGGTTTCAGTATAAGTAGACAACCAATTTTACCTTTGTATATTTTAAGGATTTTTTATTTCTTAATATAAAAATATATATAAAACGTATCTTCAATGCTAACATAATTTCTATCATCACACATCCAGATCATCTGGTTAATGTTGTTTATATTAAAATTTTGAGAAAACAAAAAAATATTCTTAGAATCAAAGGTAAACAATTGAAAATTTTTGAAAATAAAATGAAATTTCCTCCAACGCTAATAATTTCAAATAATATGAAAAAAATACTAAAATGTACGAATGTTGATTGTTGATTAAAAAAAAAATTTAAGTTTTTTTATTTATTTTATAAAAATTTTTGAAAATTATAAGGTGAAATGATTCATGCTTCATATATATGAAAAATTGAGTATGATTTTTAAAAATTATTAAATTTTTATGGAGGAGGTGGGCTTGTGTTTTTCTTTTTTATTTATCAAGAAAAAAATGGGTTATTTGTTCTTTATTTTAAAAATTTATTTTTCTTAAGAGAAACTATGCAAAATTTTTATTATGTTTAATAAAAATTCGTTAGAAATCATCAATTATAGCTAGAATAATTTCAGATCAGCTAGAATGATTTTTATTTTAATATTTAATTTTAAGTTCATATAATGTGGTTGACGTTTATATGGTTGTGAGTGTTTAATTATTTTGTAAACATTTTATATAATTAACATTCACATAAAATTATTATTAGAAAATTTACATGAAATTTAACTGCGGCATACAAAAATTGTACTTAAGGTAATATCCGTTTGTTTTTTATACATACATGTGTAATTGATGTTTGTATAAAGCGTCAAAAACAATAAAAATATTTTTTTAGTTCCAACATTGGACACTTCGAATTGAAGAATCGAAAATGGTATTGAGTCACTGTACATTTTGTATTTTTTGGGCGATGTTACTTCCCATTCTTCTCCTATGTTTGTAAATTGGAAACTTTTTTGATGTAAAAGCTTTACATGTTGTTAAACGAAGTATCACAAAATTTTCAATATTCCCTGTTGTCAATTCACTAGTACTTACATACAAACCACATAGACCATTTTTTGCCGGAACTTAGAAAATTTAAATAATTTTGATTTTGTGATTGACAAATTGAAAACAATTTCAGATTAAAATTTTTACTCACACACTCAGTCAAGTCACAACTAATGGTAAAATTTGTTTTTAGAGATTTTGCAGCGTTGTTAAGAATACAAATGTTTTTATCCCCACTGCAAACTTAAAATATATGCAATAATTTTTGTTTTGGCAAAAGTGTGTCGCATGTCGCGTCCCACTTACAAAACGTTGTTTTAAACAAAGACTTTATATACATTATTCATTTTCTCACAAGAATATTTTTTTAATTATATTGTAAATGTTTGAATATTTTTTTTTAATGTTCTCTTCTACACTTCAAATAATATCAAATAATTATATGAAGAGAAAATTTTCATCACTTACTCAGCAATTATGATATTTTATTCCTATGTATACAAGCATAAATTCCTTTTGTTGATTTTAGCACACTCTATCAAAAGTTTCTTTAAAATCTTTCACTTAAACAGTACATACAAATAAAAAATGGGATTTATTAACAACAGTTGAATAAAGTACTTTATTAAAATTGGATAAAAGATAAGTCATTTAATAGATAAAGATCACCTATATATACAGCAACAAGAGGCCGTTATTGTTAAGTTCTATTGAATTAAATTGTATACTCATTTTGCTTTGATAATGTGCGCGCCGCCATCACACTATTAAATTTATGTTTTACTTTTCATGATTTTAAAAGTGTATTATGATTTTTTGTTCGTTTCTTTTCTAAATAATTTCTTATTTAAAAATAAAAACTATTATTATTCTTTCTTTAAAAAAGACAAATTGTTTTATAAACAATTGAGCGTAGTATTGAAATGCGGTCTACATAATATGGAAGAGAACAGTTCGTTTTTATTGCAAAACAAATAAACTATAATGTTCTTAACATTTCACACAGTAGTTTTTCTTTTAATAGACTTACCATATTTACTCCATTACTGAGAGAAGATCAAACAGAATATTCGAGGAATGGAAGAGATCATGAAAGCAAGTTGTTTGTATGTTTTTTTTTTTTGGTGTTTTCTGATGTTTTTTTTCCACCACCAACATGCAACAAATTTTTTTTGTATGAAGACGCGTAAAAAAATTTGTAGCTTGGAAAAATTATTTACGTTTTTTCTTTTTCACATGTTTAACTTCCGATTTGTTGTGAAAAAAAAATTATAAGAAAATTTTTATTAGCAGGAAATTAAAAATAGGAAAAAATTTTATTTGCAAAACTCAAAATTTTTGGAAAATCAATTGAATTGTTTTTGTTTTTTTAAATTTCTTTTGTATTACAACCAATATTGAGATGTGTTTTTAGTTTATTTATTAGAGCGGAAATACTGAAAAAATTAAAAAATTTTGGAAATATTTTTTTTTTGGTTTTGTACAAATTTGCAAATTTATTGTTCATAATTTTACGAACGTACTATAAATTATGAAATTCTAATATGTTAAAAATTTTTTTATTATTCGTGCTCAACTACATTGTAACATTTTCAGAAACAAAATTACTGTTACTTTGACTACTTTGATTGTGGTCATT